ACACCTTCACCAGATGGTATTTATTAAAGTTTTATGGAAGAATAAAGTTAAACCAATGAATTAGATAATTTTTGTTATTGAGAACTATTAAATATTATATATATAAATAATATATATAAATATCTATAAACATATAAAATCTCTATATTATATATATATGGTATATTAGTCCATTTTCACACTGCTATAAAGGACTACCTAAGACTGGGTAATATATAAAGAAAAGAGGTTTAGGCTGGGCATGGTGGCTCACACTTGTAATCCCAGCACTTTGGGAGGCCAAGGTGGGGGGATCACCTGAGGTCAGGAGTTCAAGACCAGCCTCAGCCACATGATGAAACCCCATCACTACTAAAAATACAAAAATTAGCTGGGCATGGTGATGGGCACCTGTAATCCCAGCTACTCAGGAGGCTGAGGCAGGAGAGTCACTTGAACCTGGGAGGCGGAGGTTGCAGTGAGCCAAGATCATGCCATTGCACTCCAGCCTGGGCAACAAGAGTGAAATTCTGTTTCAAAAAAAAAATACAAAAATTAGCTGGGCATTATGGTTGGCACCTGTAATCCCAGCTACTTGGGAGGCTGAGGCAGGAGAATTACTTGAACCTGAGAGGTAGAAGCTGCAGTGAGCTGAGATTGTGCCACTGTACTCAAGCCTGAGTGACAGAACAAGATTCCATCTCAAAAAAAAAAAAAAAAAAAAAAAGACCCTGTTGTTGCAAGCCTGTGGGTTGCCTGAGCGCAAGTATGGGCTCCAGGTGGGTCTTTTGAGGAAAGGATCTTGTTTTTACCTTCCATGTAAAAGTTACTTTATGTTTCCCAATACCTCAGTGGTTTTGAACCCAAGCCTCTGGGAAATGTCCCAACCTCCTGTCCTCACTCAGTGCACCGTGCTGTCAGGCTTAGAGGAGGCTCTTTCTCCTTATGGAGGACCAAGGAAACGTGTCAAGGTCTGCCATTATCCCGTCTTTCTTCCTTCTCCATAATAAGAATATTAATGTGGAAAGAAATAATTGAAAGAGGAGCGGCCGGGCGCGGTGGCTCATGACTGTAATCCCAGCACTTTGGGAGGCCAAGGAGGGCGGATCACCTGAGGTTAGGAGTTCGAGACCAGCCTGGCCAATGTGGTGACACCCCGTCTCTACTAAAAATACAAAATTTAGCCGGGCGTGGTGGCAGGCACCTGTAGTTACAGCTACTTGGGAAGCTGAGGCGGGAGAATTGCTTGAACCCGGGAGGTGGAGGTTGCAGTGAGCCAAGATCGTGCCATTGCACTCTAGCTTGGGGGACAAGAGCGAGACGTCATCTCAAAAAAAAAAAGAAAAGAAAGAGGAGCTAGAATAAGAAAATAAAAGCTGGTAAATTAGTTCAACCATTGTGGAAGACAGTGTGGCGATTCCTCAAAGATCTAGAACTAGAAATACCATTTGACCCAGCAATCCCATTACTGGGTATATACCCAAAGGATTATAAATCATGCTACTATAAAGATACATGCACATGTATGTTTATTGTGGCACTATTCACAATAGCAAAGACTTGGAACCAACCCAAATGCCCATCAATCGTAGACTGGATTAAGAAAATGTGGCACATACACACCATGGAATACTATGCAGTCATTAAAAAGGATGAGTCACGTCCTTTGCAGGGACATGGATGAAGCTGGAAACCACCATTCTCAGCAAACTATCACAAGGACAGAAAACCAAACACCGCATGTTCTCACTCATCGGTGGGAATTGAACAATGAGATCACTTGGATACAGGGAAGGGAACATCACACACCGGGGCCTGTCGGGGGTGGGGGGTTAGGGGAGGGATAGCATTAGGAGAAATACCTAGTGTAGATGATGAGTTGATGGGTGCAGCAAACCAACATGGCACGTGTATACCTATGTATCAAACCTGCACGTTGTGCACATGTACCCTAGAACTTAAAGTATAATAATAAAAAAAAGAAAATAAAAATATTCTACTCTCCAGATATAGCTATTGTTAACATTTTGAGAAAATATCCTTCCAGATAGTTTTTCTCTTTCTTTCTTTCTTTTCTTTTCCTTTTCTTTTTTAATTTAGAGACAAGGTCTCATTACATTGCTCAGGCTGGTCTCAAACTCCTGGGCTCAAGTGATCCACCTATCTTAGTCTCCCAAAGTGCTGGGAATACAGGCATGAGCCACTGTGCCTGGACTCCAGAGAGTTTTTCTATGAATATAAATCATGCACTTTCTTATTTAGAAAAATGATTTATGTTATTACAACTGTTAATAATAGCTTTTCTCTTTTCTTAAGTATATTGTGGTTCTCTTACCACATCATGAAATGTTCTTCTATATCATCATTAAAAAATATATATATTTTTTTCTTTTTTGAGATGGAGTCTCGCTCTGTCGCCCAGGCTGGAGTGCAGTGGCACTCCCAAAGTGCTGGGATTACCAGTGAGCCACCACCCCTGGCTCCACATTTTAGTATAGACCCATGGAAATGGTTTCTCTATCAGATCCAGTACAAATTGCAGACATGTCTGGCAACGAAAAAAATATATATGTATATATTGGCAACTTCTAGTATTTTTAGACTTGAGTAATAGCTGCAGTAGCACGATCTCAGGCCACTGCAACCTCTGGTTCCCAGGTTCCCAAGTGGCTGAGATTACAGGCACTTGCCACCACACTCAGCTAATTTTTTTAATTTTTACTAGAGACAAGATTTCGCCGTGTTGACCAGGCTGGTCTCAAATTCCTGATCTCAAGTGATCCACCCACCTCAGTCTCCCAAAGTGCTGGGATTACAGGCATGAGCCACTGCACTCGGCCTCACACATTCTATTTCAAAGGCTGATCTAAGTTTACTCCTACCTCAGTTCTCCTGGCACTGCAGAGCTCACCATAATAGCAAGACCCCAAGGCTCCCTTGATTCAGAACTGCACTTTTGAAAGACCCTATCTCAGAAAAAAAATAAATAAATAAAAAGGGCCAGGCGCTGTGGCTCACACCTGTAATCCCAGCACTTTGGGAGGCCGAGGCGGGTGGATCATGAGGTTGGGAAATCGAGACCATCCTGGCTAACATGGTGAAACCCTGTCTCTACTAAAAATACAAAAAATTGGCCGGGCGTGGTGACACACACTTGTAATCCCAGTTACTTGGAAGGCCGAGGCAGGAGAATCCCTTGAACCCAGGAGGTGGAGGTTGCAGTGAGCCAAGATAGGGCCACTGCACTCCAGCCTGGGCAACAGAGAGAGACTCCATCTCAAAAAAAAAAAAAGAGAGAGAAAGAAAATGTGGATGCAGGGAATGATCCTATGGTTGTCTGCTCTTTTCCAGCTGGCCAGCAGTGGTAGCTGAAAAGTGACAGGATGCTGATGAAAAACATTGCAGATGTGAAGAAAAGAAAAAGTTGATGGAATTTTGCACATGTGTCTGACAGTTCACCCATGCAAACTTTTACAAAGTGCTGTAAAGCTGTTGTAGTAAGGGTTGGACATGGTGGCTCATGCCTGTAATCCCAGCATTTTGGGAGGCCACACGCACGAGGATCGCTTGAGCCCAGGAGTTCAAAACCAGCCTGGGCAATATAGTGAGACTTCGTCTCTACAAAAAAGTTAAAAACTTAGTAGTGTATGGTGGTTTGTGCCTGTAGTCCCACCTACTAGAGAGGCTGAGGTGGAAGGATAGTTTGATTCTGGGAAGTGGAGGTTGCAGTGAGCCAAGATGGTACCACTGCACTCCAGCTTGGGAGACAGAGCGAGACTCTGTCAAACCCCCTAGCTAGGTGACCCTAAGTCAATAAGGAGGGATTTGGTTACACCTTGGGAACTAAGGCACAGAGATGAATGTTCCAGCTCAAGGCCACCCCTGCCATTCAGCTCCTTGCTTCCTCTCTTGGTGGACCTGTCAATTCTTACATGTGTCAACCAGCTGTCCTGCCCACCTAGCCCCACAGTCATACCTTTCTATCCTTTTGGTGATCTCCACTCCATCAAGAGTGGCTCTGCACATCCTATTTCAATTGACTTTTTTTTTTTTTGAGATGGAGTTTCACTCTATCACCCAGGCTGGAGTGCAGTGGTGCAATCTCGG